TTAGTTTTCCTTCTAACAGTCAGGCCCCTCTGCCGCAGGTCTGCTGGAGTTTGCTGGAGGTCCACTCCAGACCCTGCTTGCCTGGCCATCACCAGTGGGGGCTGCAGAACAGCAAAGATTGCTGCCTGTCCCTTCCTCTGGTAGCTTCATCCCAGAGGGGTACCTGCCAGATGCCAGGTAGAGCTCTCCTGTATGGAATGTCTATCAGCCCCTGCTGGGAGGTGTCTCCCTGTCAGGATACACGGGGGTCGTGGAGCCACTTGAGGAGCCAGTCGGTCCCTTATCAGAGCTGAAACTCTGCCAGGAGATCTGCTGCTCCCTTCAGAGCAGGGACGTTTAAGTCTGCTGAAGCTGTACTCACAACCTCCCTTTTTCCCAGTGTTCTGTCCCAAGAAAGCGGGGGCTTTATAAGTCTCTGACAGGCTGCTGCCTTTTTTAGAGGTGCCCTGCCCAGTGAATAGGGAGTCTAGTGACACAGTCTGCCTGCAGAGGCCTTGCTCAGCTGCCATGGGCTCTGCCCGGTCACTGTCTAATCTTCCTGACAACTCTGTTCACACAGGAGAGATTAAAACCACCTACTCGAGCATCACCAATGGCAGACACCACTCCCCGCACCAAGCTCAGGCAACCCAAGTGGAGCTCACACTGCTGTGCTGGCTGCAAAAATTTCAAGCCAGTGGATCTTAGCTTGCTGGTCTTCATGGAGGTGGGTCCCACTGAGCCAGATCACTTAGCTCCTTGGCTTCAGCCCTTTTTCAGGGGAGTGAATGGTTCTGTCTCACTGACGTTCTAGATGCCACTAGGGTACGAAGAGAAACTACTGCAGCTAGCTTTGTGTCTTCCCAAACCGCGGCCCAGTTTTGTGCTGGAAACCTGGGGTGCTGGTGTTTTAGGCACCGGAGTGAATTTCTTGGTCTGCGGGTTGTGAAGACTGTGGGAAAAGCACAGCATCTGGGCCAGAGTGCCGGGAAAAGTCCCTAATGGCTTCCCTTGGCTAGGAGAGGGAGTTCCCTGACACCTTGTGCTTACCGAGTGAGAAGACACCCCACCCTGCTTCGGCTCGCCCACCTTGGGCTGCACCCACGATCAAACCAGTCCCAGTGAGATGACCCAGGTACTTCAGTTGGAAATGTGCAGCTCACTTGCCTTCTACATTGCTCTCGCTGGGAGCTCTCACCGAAGCTGTTCCTATTCAGCCATCTTGCCAGCAATCTCTCTTCCCTCTTAATCCTAATTTTTATTCGATGTCGTAAATACTTCTGTACTTTTGCATAATTATCTCTCCATAGATTCACTTTGGGATCAGATTGTGGACACTACCACTGAGCATGGGTAGGTGATGCTTCCAAGGGACATGGCTTTGCGGGTAACCTGAGAGAATGTGCTGTTGGGACACACCAAGAAGTAACTACAAAACCAGACAGTAGGGCTGCAGGAGAAATGGAGATTTCTCATCTTCTCAATCTTCATTTATTCCAGGACTATTGAGCTACCAGCTCTAAGGCTGGCCCTGGACATTTACCTATAGAAGATCTTTTTAAAGTGCAGTTTTTAAAATGTAGTTGAAACAGCTGTCATTCTAAGAATGGACATGCGCTTAGCTAGAAGACTGCAGAAAAACTCCTAACAAAAGAAAAATATTAAATTGAAAAAGAAAAGGATAAGATCACACAAGGTGGTTGGGTAGCTGTGGAAAAAATACCTGCTTCATCACTTTCCTCTGGCAAACTTGTCAGAGCAAACCTCAACCAGGACATCATGAAACAACATGAAACTGAATCTGAGGCTCCCGAGCTCACGCCTGCATCATGGGGCTGGGCAGTCAGGAAAAAATGAAAGAGGTCAGGCCCAGGGCAGGACAGTGACTGGCTCTGCTCCGTCAGCGCCCCTGGCCATCGCGAAATTCAGGAGTGAGGGGTATTGCTGGATTCCTACCAATGCTCATTCACAGGGGCTGCCCCTTTCTTCATGAGGAAGAAAGAAAATCAGTGTTACCCATATGTTCACACTCGTAAACTCAAATCAGTGTCCAGGGAGTCAAGTGACAGAAAAACTCACAGGGGTTGACTCGCTTCTCTGCTAGGTATACATCCATCACTAATTCAAATGTGAGAAGAAAATGAGGCTAAAGGAAATGTAACAAGCAGGCTAATAGAAATGGACTGGGCCTCCAAAGGGAGGTGCGAGTGGGCGATTGCAGAGGTTGATAAGAATTGAGACTCGGCTTAGTTGTGCTCCGACCTCTCTGTCCGTTCTGTTTCTTCTGTTTGTTTGTTAACTAAATACCAAAGCCTTCTTCAGGCAAAACTAAGTAGAATTTATTAATGCTTCTTATTTGCATTGTTTTAAATGGTAAGTATATATGGCAAGAGAGAGGTTTTCTATCTGAGACATCAAGGGTTCTTTTAAAATAAAGTTTCAAAAGTGAGTCATTGAAAACCATTAAGTAAATAATTCTGTCGATGGTCGTTGGCTATGACAAAAGTTAGGAGGTTTTGGGGACCTCATGATTAGATAAGGCCTTTCTGTTTGTTAATAACAACTAATATTTAATCAGCATCTGTGATGTATGGGCCACTGAAAAGAGCACTTTCCCTACCTGATCCATCACAACTCTGCAAAATAGGTAGATTTGAGCCCATTCTCCCGATGAGGAAGCTGAGTTTCAGTGAGTTTCTATTTCAGTGGAAGAGATTGCACTGTGAGTGGGTGGAGAGAAGGAGGTGAACCCAGGTGTAATGCCCAAAGCGCTGAGCCTTCCAATACAGCACACTGCCTCTGTGCTCTTCCCAGCCCAGTGAGGGCTGTACCCTCTGATTTGTGAGCAGAGGATCTCCAGAAAGAACTGGGAGAACCTTCTCTGAAGGCATTTATCCTCTGTGTCCTCCCCCACAATAGAGCTCACAAGTCGTCGCACATTTCCTTCTCTCATCTTACGGTTTCATAAAGAGGTGGGCCCACTTTTTGTTAATTTCATTCCCAGTCCAAACACCACTTCTTCCTCCTCCCAGCCCTACTGAAGTGAACATGCGCCTATATTCCACCATCTAATGGGATAACACATTTTGTTGGGTCAGTGCTGTCTGACCTTGGAGCGAATTAAAATAAAGATTCTGAGTTTTAAAGTTGTCAGGCCTTGGTTTCCATGAAGAGGAACTCTATTTTCACTCATCCTCCAGCAAGAGATGAGCAGCTTGAAATCACTTTGACAGTGAGAGTTGCTCTATTGCATACCACAGGGAATTTTAATTCCAGCCTGTGAAATTGTAATTGCTTCTCAAGGAGAAGTGGGGAATTCTGGGTAATGGCCACAGCCAAGCTCAATGTCAGAGCTGCCAGTTGCTGCCACATCAGATATTACTTGCTGTTATTCAAAACTCCAGCTTTCCATATGGGAAAGTTGAACTGGGGAGTGAAAGTAAATTAACAGAAACTGTCAGCAGTTCAGAGCAGCACAGACAGCAGTGTGACAGAGGTGGGTGACTTCCCATCAGAAAAGGTAAGTTTTTCCCTTTGTTTTTGGTTAAGATAAAGAGTTTTACAAACAAATTTCATTACTTAAGGTACACGCTAAATGATGTTATTATTAAGCGCAAAAAAAAAAAAAATTCTGGTTAGTGGCATGATAAGATTAAAGCTGCCAATTTCTATTCACTCCTTCCTGGAAGAAATGAGGGAAAAAGTGGCTCAAAAGCATAATTAAAATAATGAAGATAACAAGGCCATGTCAGACTGATGTTTGCGATAAGATTAAAATTACCTGCTATCAAAGTTAAACCGTCTGAGAAATTACTTCCTGGCTCTGTTTGGAATAAAGAGAATCTGGAACCAGCACATCTCATTACAAAACATTGGAGACAGGAAAGATTATCTGTACAGGGGAGGACCTGGTACCCGTCACTGTCTGAAATCAGAGGAAACTCTGAGCAGTACTAAGCATGTTCTGAAATTGTTCTCCCTCTCCTGAAGGTGAAAAAGGAAAGAGAAAGGGCTCAACAGAATTTCTTAGAAAAATATTACCAGTCTGGGGGCACTGCTTTTTTGCTTTAGACATTAGAGAAAAGTCACGTGCAGGCTTTACTTTTTCTCATCTGATGATTTGTAGAGCAAATTTCATGTATTAGAATTGCTTTTCCGGGAAAAGGAAATGTTCCCATGGAAGGTAATGACTGGCGCCCACCGCCTAGCCCTTGCTGGCTTTGCGTAAGAGGAGGTGGCAGGTGTTTGAGTTTGTTTTCTTGCTGTTGTTATTTCTGAGTGTTATCTTAATGTCGACTGTTGTAACCTAGTTGACTAATTGAAAATCTGATGGCATGCCGTCATCCCGAGCCTAGTGAAGTTCTGTGTTCCTCTGACTTCCTTTGGCTGCCAAGAAGTGTTTGTTTTTTTTCTCCAAATGAACAAAATCTTTTTATTGTTTTAGGGAGATGGAGGGAAGAGGGCTTTTTTGGGCTTTTTTTTTTTTTTTTTTTTTNACAGTCTTACTCAGGCTAGAATGCAGTGGCATGATCTTGGCCCACTGCAATCTCTGCCTCCTGGGTTCAAGTGATTCTCCCACCTCAGCCTCCCAAGCAGCTGGGATTACAGGCACCCGCTACCACACCTGGCTAATTTTTGTATTTTTTGTAGAGATGGGGTTTTGCCATGTTGCCTCGGCTGGTCTTGAACTCCTGGCCTCAGATGATCTGCCTGCCTAGGCCTCCCAAAGTGCTGGGGTTACAGATATGCACTATGGCATCGGGCCAGGAAGCTTTTTATTATAATCCTATTTTTCTGTTCCCATCCAGTGTAATCTTATACAAACCCAATTTGTTTGTGAGAGGTTTCCCTGGCTTATTAGAATGGGCCCTGGAATATACAAACAGTGATATTGTTTGGTAGATGAGCTGAGGTATGCTGGATTTTGTTTGTTTCACAGTGGGAGATCAGTGGTTCCTTTGCATAATATGTGTGCACACGCACTGTAATCCAAATCCTAGGGTCTGACTAGGTACTTGGTATGAAGAAACACCCCAATTAGACTCAAAGCCCATGCCAAGCTCTTCCCCATTTCTCAGTGAACGTTTGAAAACTCAGGCAGTTCGGCTCTTACTTTTTGGTAATCTGGTATTTAGATATGGTGTTATCTCATTCCCATCTTTCAATTATTCATTCATTTGCTGAGTCTCCATTTTGGCATGGATAAATCCAGTGACACAATGGTGAATACAGTAAATACAGCTGAACAGCTAAGTCCAGAGTCCTGCCCCAAAGCACGTCAACACCAAAGAGAACGTTAGGGATTGTTGTTCAGGAATGGCCTAAGCTAGCGGAGTGACCTCAGACAAGTCACTAAACTCTCCTAACCTCAGTCTCTCCATTTGTAAAATAAAGGAGTCCAGGCCGGGCATTGTGGCTCATGCCTGTAATCCCAGAAGTTTAGGAGGCTGAGGGGGCAGATCAGGAGGGCAGATCGAGACCATCCTGGCTAACAGGGTGAAACCCTGTCTCTACTAAAAATAGAAAAATTAGCCGGGTGTGGTGGCATGTGCCTGTAGTCCCAGCTACTCAGTAGGCTGAGGCAGGAGAACTGCTTGAACCCAGGAGGTAGTGGTTGCAGTGAGCCGAGATTGCATCACTGCACTCCAGCCTGTGTAACAGAGCAAGACTTTGTCAGTAAATAAATAAGAGAGTCCAACTCCATGCTCTGTGAGACCCTCTTGCTCTCACTATAGGCTGACGTGCAGGGTTCACCACTCCTGCGTTTTCAAGAAAGACCAGGCTACAGATGAAACAGACACAATTAACCTTCATTGAGGACCAAGAAAGAGCAGTCTTTCTATACATCCTACTCAAATCTTAACTCAAAATTTAAATATGAGAAACTGTAAGAAAATTGAAATTCCCTGACACATCATAGAGGAACAAAGGTTGTTTAGGACTGATGACCAGATGGCAGCCAGTGGTGACTTTCTGGGGCTTTAAATTTGTGACTTCTATGTTAGGTTGCCACAGGTTTTTTGTTTAATATTAATTGGAGCGACTGTAGCTCCTTAGATATACAGCTTGACTTTGCCACCGAGCATGAGGAAAGCTGGTGTTAATTGCTTCCCCCCCCCACTTTCTTTTTAACTAATATGTATAAAGTCATTAAAAATATTCTTCTAACTAAACTGTAACATTTTTAGCTACTGATTTTTTTTTGTAGCTTTTTATAATTCTGATGGCACAAGGCAATCTGGTTTGATGAGATTAAAATTTTTAGACTAGTATCCAACCAACTCCTGTTTTTCTAAAGATTGCTTTGAAATTTTCAGCCTTTCTGCCTTCAAAAGTCTTGGGGGATTTTGGGTGAAGAAGGGAAAAAGAGAGATCTGACCTTGCACACATGGGGTTAGGAGTAGGGTATGAGAGAAAAACTAGCAGCGAATCGAGATGAAAAGATAAAACCAGGGAAATACAGAAGCAGTCAAGGGCAACGGCTATTCCAGAAATTTCTTTGAGAGCTTGCAGATAATTCTGTTAAAAAAGACACAAACCCCAACCCATCCTGAATGTTTGTTCATATAAAACATTTTTTATATTTTAAGTGGAATATAAAAGATTCTTTACTTCCTGTGGCCAGAACCCAGGCTCTATAAACTCTATCTTCTGGTTCATTTTCTTTTTGACTTCTGATTTTCCTCTTGAATATGGAACCAAATGAGATGTGATATTGACAATTCGCCATTGTTTCCTGGGTGAGAGACTGTGCTATAATCAGGTTTACTTGCTCAGGCCCAAAACAGGGTTGAGACCAAATTATAGTCTAGTTTTTCTGGTCTTCTGGATACCAAGTTTTAACACTTTAATGGGCCAATGATCAGAAATTTAGAGTTTTCCTGCGAAGTTTGGAATTAAGCGCGGTGAACCGTGAAGTGGTGTCTACCGTAGCGGAAGCTCTTCCCTGCCATCTCAAATGACACCAAGTAAGGTTACAGAAATCACATAGGTGGAAAAAACAAAATAAAACAAAACAACAGAAATAAAAAACCAGGAGCATCTGCCTTCCAAGATCACCGCCTGAGATAGTTACCCGAGCGGCTTTTTTGTAAAGCGTTCATATTCATTTATTAAGAATAGAGCATATGAATTCTAACTGAACAGATGTAGTAAGAGAATTTGAGACACAGAAAATAAAAACCAGAAAGCTGGAGTCAATTATTTAAATGGCAGTAGATAAGGAGAGAAGGTAGTGGGTCCTGGAGGCAAAGAGGGTTGCTAGGTTCCCAGAAGCTATTTGGTGTGGAAGTGTCCAAGCAAAGATTAAATGGGGATCAAAGTGCCGAATTACAAAGACAGGAGCTTGCCTCTTACTGAGGCACTTTCTTAATTAAGACAGCAAAGGGATCCACACATCCTTTCCAGCTACATATTACAGCAACCATTGCAAAACAAAACTCCATTATCAGCAACAGTGAGATAAAATCTAGCATCAATAATAGCAATGACAAGAGCAAAAGTCACTACCAGTTGGCTAAGCTGAGGCTTACTACTAGCTCTCCTGGAAATGGACACAGTCGGAAGCTCAACAGCAGAAACTTAACTCTTCCCAAGCCTGAGAAAGTGATGACTATGTTGTATGTTTCCAAAAGTGTCAATATACAGGGTATGGTAAGTGTACCCATTGACCAGGATCATCAATGGGAGAACCAGCTAACCTCCATACTGTCGCTGGTTATCCTTCCAACACGAATCTCTCCATGGCCTGCAGTGTTGACAAGCCTGTTTAGAAGCCTGTAGTGGCTCTCTCTTGACTATTGAATAAAGTCTAGATTTCTTGGCAGGGCATCAAAACCTTTCACAACATAACCTGAGCTGCTTTCTTAGTCTAATTTCTAGACATTTCCCTCATATTTTACTACAGTTAAAACTTTTTAGTCATACCCAACGTAAACTCTGCATTTATTAAGTAATAAATCTCCTTCTTCCCACTCCCCTCAGTTCCTGATAACCTCTGTTCTACTTTGTCTCTATGAATTTGCCTATTCTAGGCACCCCGTGTAACTGGAGTCATACCATATTTGTCCTGCGTCAGGCGTATTTCACTTACCCTAATGTTTTCAAGGTTCATCTGTATTGTGACATTTCACTTCTTTTTAAGGCTAATATTCCATTGTATGGATATACTGCAGTTTGTTTATGCATTCATCTGTCAATGGACACTTAGGCTGTTCCCACCTTTTAGCTATTATAAATAAGGTTACTGTAAACATTGGTAAATAGACATTGGTTTGAGCTGTTGCAGAATTTTAGAGACCAGAGAGACCACTGAGGTTGCGGAAGGAGTTTATTTTAAGTATACACCAGCCCAGGTCTACTTGGATTCAAAATGGCTGAGCCCTTAAACAAAGACAGGGCTTAACTTTTTTTTTTTTTTTTTT